GGAGTGTTCGCCCAGGGCGCCAAACAGGCTAGGAGCTTGAAGGAGAGTTTACCTATCATGATTTTGACAGTGAGAGCAACCAGAGTTCCTACAGGAATCTCCTGCTAGCACGTGGAGAACATGCAGACTCCGCAGAGAAAGGCCTCTCTCTGGTTTGAATGTCTAACTTTTTGCAGTGATGCAATGGTCGTCAGTGATGCAGGCATTAGAAAGAAAAGCAGCGTACAGACAACTTTCCCTCAGCAGAAAAGATATGAATGCTCCAACAGTAGCTCACACTGCATGTTAACATACAATACAACAAAGGGCAAGGAGGAGAATATTAGTTTATATTTGAACAGCGTGTTTCACTGCAAAAAGATCAAACACTAATTCAGTCAAACCAAATGCGTGTGTTGACGTCAGTATTACTCTATTCTAGATCCTCTGATTTATTCACAGCATTGTAGCAACTTTTCATATTCAAAGCACTGATCAGATATGCACAAGAAGATAATTTAAGTTGACTGTATCTTCTCTTTGATGTTGTGTGTAGTTCAGTTACAGTCTAGACCTTTTATCCTCCTTATATAATCCACCCCAGGTCTGCACCATCACAGCACATATACAGGCCTGAGGCAAAAGTAAATATATGAGCCCTCTTTATACACATATCTTACCGCAGTCATAATTGAAGCTACAGGGTACTGAATGGATTGAGGAGCAAACTGAAGAGCCAGAAAGCTGCAGTCTGATCTGCATGGGTATGCATTGAGATTTTGATTGGAAGTTTCCAGCTGTTAAGGAGGGGAAAACTTTTTTCTTTTTCATTATTTATGGTATGTTTACTTGTGTGAGCTAATGGAAAAGTGTACTAAGAGGAATTTCTGTTTCTTATTCATTCTAAAGTGAATCCAAGCCTAGTGAAGACTTTGCTCATCTCCTGTAGGGTCATTCTGATGCAAAATTACAAGCTTCTGTAACATCTTCATGTCAGAGCGGAAAAAAGCATATGCATATTAAGTAAATTCAGCGGTTTGCTACATTTTGCTTGTCATGTGTTATCACTAACACCAGCACCTGTGCTTTTCCTGCTATGACAACTGAAAATGTCTGCTGCGAAAAAGGCCAGTGTGCCATCCCTCTGAAGTTGCCCTATGCTATCTGGCAACAAGATGTTAGCAACAGATCATTTAAGTCCTTCAAGTTGTGAGACGGAGGTTCCTCTGAACATATTTTTTATCTAGCAGATCCACCAACACCTTGTTGTTGGTCAGCAGTCACTGTTGCTGACCAGAAAACCCCTGCAAACCTCTGTGATTTGGAAATGATCCAAGCCAGTCATCAAAACCTTCATCATGTGGTCTTTCCAAAAGTTGGTCCACATAAATCCTAAATCTTAGCATCATCCATTTCATCCGTGAGTGGATATAATGTCTTGGCCCATTGGTGTATATTATGAAACATGTAGGGGTATAAATCTGATACATACTGTCACTAAAAGATAGTAGATTGTACCTGACGTCCACCCTGGTCTCTGTCTTTGAGGTAATTTTCCGCTCTATTGTTTTTAGCTGTGCAGTGTTGCATTTTCTTCTCAGCCTTTTTCCAGGAGCTCTTCTTGGAGTGAATCAATTCTCTGCGGCAATACCATCTAACCTATAATTCTTATCCTCGCTAGAAACAAAATGTTGGAACGGAAGCACATGAAATGAGGGAAGGCAAAGCTACAGCGGGAGTTTTTTTGCGTATTTGTCAGTCACCGTGTTGTCGAATAAATCACAATCCATTTGGGAAATGACTTTTAAAGTTTAAAAAAAGTGTACATTAAAGCTTCATTTGCATTTGAAAGCCTCTCACCTTGAATCATTAAAGGAGTAAGACAACCTTTGGCAAATGTGTGCTTTGCATTCCCTGATTCAAACTGTTACTTTCGGGAGTGCTGTCTAATTTGTTTTTGTTTGTTTTCTTTCCTTCTGGAAAAATATATTTTGTGACAAAAAATGCATTTCTTCCACTTCAGAGATATTATTTTTTTCTCTACCAATCTTCCAAATCTTTTCATTTTCTAGGTTATAATTTCCCTGCACAGGAATGAATACTAAAAGCTATTTCAGAAGCAACAGCTGCCTCCCAGATACACAGAATATACTGTGACTATGCACTATGCACTAATGTGGCATGAAAAGAAGAGAGAATGAATTTTATTACCTTGACATGTGACACCACTGATTTCAGCTGTGCATGAAGAAAACAAAAAAGGCAATGTTTGAACCCACAGTACTGTGCAAATATCTTGAGCCACCCCACATTTCTTTATATTTTACTTTCAAAGGTACTTTCTTTTAATTTTTAATTTTTTAGTTTCTTACAGGACAGCTCTTTAGACTTTTTTTTTCTCATTTGGACCGCTTTTCACTGATTTTCAGTCCAGTCCTTGAACCTGACCTGTAGGAGTCATTTTTTGTGTTGTTACCTTATGTGTGCCGCCAGAGGTCACCTTTTGTAGAAACATGTAATTAGCGCCAGGTGTTATTGGTCGAAAGAAGCAAACAGTTTGTGACCGCTGCGTTGTTGTGATAAATGACGTTGGATAAAGAGAACTGTTCAACAACTACTGATGGAAGTGCATTAAAGATGGGACAAGACACAATAAGTACGGCTGGAGTTACTGGACTGAAGTTTCATGCATAACATTGGCATCGCGTCACCAACGAACACCTCAGTGGCTTCAAATGTAGGTTTTGCCTCTACATGGCCTTTATTAGAGGAATGGGTTTTTTTGGTTGTTAAGCCAAAACAAACAAACAATTGAATCATTCAAGCATGAAAAAACGTGCCTACTGCAACTCTATTAAGTGGAGTCTATGAATAATCCCAGAGATAAGAGAAAATAGCGTTTTTGCACCAACATGGTGATTCCCAAATAGAACAAAAGAAGAAATAGCAAACCTAAAATAATATCTACAGCAGATGAGCAGTATCTGAAAGTCGTGTCCTTAATAAATATGAAGAAATCCAGTAAAGACATGACACAGGACCCAATGGATACATCTGGCCCTTCTACTGTTTACTGAAGTCTAATTTTGCTACGTTTTTGGTTTTGGTTATTCACTCCACTTGGGCACATTCTACGTGTCACTTACTGTTTACTTTTTGTGCAATGGGTATGACAGAAAGAGGAGTGCTAACATGCTAAATAATGAACTTGAACTTTCAGAGTTCTTCAAACAAGAGCTTTCAAGAAGTGAAGTGTTTTCAGGTTAACAAGCAAGCAAAAGTGTTCTATAGTGTTTTAAATTGGTGCTTTGCATACGGAATAAACATGTGTAGTCAAAGACTGTAGACCTTCACTTTGTGACTCAGGGAGACAAGAAGCCATTTTTAAGATAAGATAGATGAGATAAAATACCCTTTTTATTAGTCCAACAGGTAGGAAAATTCACATTATTAAAAAAGCAAAGTGGACGTGGCAGAAATAAATAGATGCAGCACAACTGATAATGCTATACGGAAGCAATAAAAGAAAATGTAAACAATATAAGGTGGAAGAAGATTAGATGCCTAGCAGCAAACCAGGATACTTCATAGTGGCATAGCAGGCATTGAGTGTTGAACTTTGAAATATGTACAGACCACAGAGTGTGCATGTGTGTGTTCATATGTGTACAATTACTGCTGTCATACATTTACTGCTGTTGACTCTGACAGCAGATGGAAGGAAAAACAGCTTGGCACGCCGTGGGTGCAGCAACCTGTCACTGAAGGAGATGCTCAGTGCTGTCAGAGCGACCTGCATGAGATTGGATGTGTTCTCTAGAAGGGATGACAGTTTAACCACCATACTTCCATCTGGTCAGGAGGGTGTCCCAAAACAGAGCTGGTCTTCTTGAACAGCCTGTTCAGTTTTTATTATCCCCAGAAGACATACTGCTGCCCCAGCAGACCATACACACACAAAAAAGATGTCAGATTCCACCACTGAGTCATAGGAGGAGTTCAGGAACTCTTCTTGCAATCCAAAAGACCTAAGTCTCTGTAGCAGATACAGCCTGCTCTGTCCTTTCCAAGATTGCATTTCTCTTGTTAGTCCGGTCCAATTTATTAGTCAGTTGAACACCCAGGTACGTATATGAGTCCATCATCTCAATCTCCACAGAGATTAAGAGGGAGAAACAGGGAGAAAAGGCTATGCTATGCCAGTTTACGTAAGAACTAAACTGAAAGTCAGTGGCAACAGGTCTTACGGAGTAATCCAAACCTGAATTTTTTTAACTGAAATTGTTGTCAACATGTACGGAGGAGGTCAGGAGAGAGGCACAACAATGAGTGTCTACAGCCATGTAAAAGGATAAAGGTGACCAAATATTCACTTTAAAGCTTGTTAGAATTGTACAAACTGTGTTTTGCCTTGAATTCTGTAATTCCATGTATGTTTTGTACATGACTAAATAAATCACTGCAGCTGTTTTCCTGGCAAAATTTTAAGAAAGGCTCAAGTAAACCGGAGACTCAAGATTTTTGCACAATACTGTACATGAGCTTTTTTTGTCTTTTAATGTCTGAAAGTTTTATAATTATTTCCTGATTTAGTCAAATGAAACAATGCTGCAGTTAAATTTTAGTTCAGACTCTGTGTATGATAGCATACACAAAGTATCAAGACACTGGTGGCTCAAATAGATTTCACATGCACTGATGTGATAAATGTTTGCCTTTCTTTGGACAACCCTTGATTGTGCATCACTTTCAGTTTGTTTTGCAGTATGGAAGAACCGTCACATGCGCACCGTGACAAACTATTTCATAGTGAATCTTTCCCTGGCTGATGTGCTGGTCACCATCATCTGCCTGCCTGCGAGTCTTGTGGTGGACATCACAGAGACGTGGTTCTTTGGAAACACTCTGTGCAAAATTGTCCCTTATCTGCAGGTAAGCCTTGAACCCTGACATCTGCTTTTCAAACAGGATATTGGAATCTTTGACCTTTTCAGAAACAATTCACAAGGTCTGTGGATGCAAGCCAAGACCTACATTTCTATTATTCTACCATTTTTCTTCATGGTATTCATGAGGGTAAAAAAAAAACAAAACTCTTTTTCATATCCCCCAGGATGTGCACTGAGTGAGACCTTTGATGTTACTCTAAAGTGATTTAATGCCTCAGGCAACACTGCTTTAGCACCACTCTGGCAATATGTATGCAAAAAAGACAATCTTATTTAATATTGTTGATCACAATGATATGTATCGAGAGCATGTACCAAAGTCCCAAACTACTCTGCACAGATTATATGTCTCATACTCTTAACAGACTGTGTTATATTATATTGTTTATGCACAGCAAAGTCAATTCTAGCCTCATGGTGGCACGGCTTTGACTATATGTTCTGCAGGGATGCAGCTGTAAAGCAAAGAAATTCTAACATAATGTGAATTCTTGTGTGTCAGGAGCTAGTTTAGCAAACATGCTGCACCTCATGGCTTTTAATTAGCAATCTCTTTGAAGGTTTTCATAGTGACATTCACCCCGTTTACTGTTGAGCTTTGTATCATAAACTGGCGCTGCAGTATTTGCTTGAGGGCCATCTCCCGCTGCTTTCTTTTTAAATCCAGGAGCATCAACTCTAATTCCCCTTTGGTGATTCATTTTATGTAACATTTTGGTATGATTCCTATTCTACTGTTCTACATTGTATGCTGGGGGTCTATAATACCTTGAATAGGTTCACAGCAGGGTGCAACAGAAGCCAAATGCAGCACATTGTATAATATTTTAAAAAGGGGGTCCATATTTCAGCTTGCAGCTGGTGTCCGGATTAAACCCATCCATGATTCTCCAGTGTAATGTGCAAGCAAGTGAAAAATGATCATTGCAATTTACAATGAGCAGTGTGGTGGAAATGCTGTTTTGGCCTAAATGCAGCAGGTTGTTTTGTGTGTGTGGGAACGTCTTTTTAAAATATACATTTCAAAGCATTTAAATGTCACAGACGGTTCCTGTTGTCTTGCAAACAATGATTCACTTCCCTCAAGGTTTCTCTCACTGGTTTCAGTGTTTACATATGTTTCATATTCAGCATACTTAACCTGTAACCATCCAGGATGCATCCAAACTCAAAAACATCCAAACTCAATGAACAATTGACTTTCTGTCAGTTGAAGGGCAATGAGGATGTGCCCTGCTCTGCCTAAGGTGCAATCTTTCCTTTCTTTTTTAAGATCGTTTAAATGAACATTTTAAATTAGGCAGCGAGATTTATTTTAATGTGCCTGGCATCATAAGCTAACCCTTTACAAAAACAAGGAATCTCCGCCTTTTGTTTCCAAGAAAAATTGACCACCCACTGCTTTTAAACCTGCACGTGAAATTTGTGCCGCTGCTCTGAAGTGAACAGACTCGTCTGCAACACAGAGATAAGAGCATCTCCAGCATAGGAGGTGTCCCATGCATCAGTGTTTGCCAATCTATGATTCAAGTCTACAAATGCATGTTCTGAAATTATTTTCCTCATGAGCATTTAGTATTTTCTGTAACAACTGCAAACTGTATCAATATTAAATGGTGAACATCTTTGTGTATCTAGTTAAAAGTTTTATTTCATTCTTCGCAGACCATCTCTGTTTCTGTATCAGTCCTAACGCTGAGCTGCATCGCCCAGGACCGTTGGTATGCGATCTGTCACCCACTGTTGTTCAAGAGTACAGCCAAGAGGGCGCGCAAGAGTATTGTTGTCATCTGGGTTGTGTCGTGTATCATCATGATCCCCCAGGCCATCGTGATGGAGTGTAGCAGCCTGCTGCCTGAACTCACAAATAAGACCAGTCTGTTCACGGTGTGTGATGAGCACTGGGGAGGTTAGTTTTCACAGTTCACAAGCTAAATGAACGCATTATGAAAATATATGTCTCCCTCGCTGCTAGAAGCACAGTTTCAACTTCAACTGAATGACTCACTAAATTACTTAAACAACAACTGCAGTGACATTTATTGGGCTTTTCCACCCCCCCGTATAGATGGGTTGATCATGTGTCATACCACTTTTTTTCCATAAAGTGTGAGCACCTAAGCGGGATGGGTGGATTTTGCTTTGCTCAGATGAAGTCGCTCAGGGTGCCTCTGTGATTGAAGAAGTCAAAAGAGGAAAACCTTACAAAGAGAGGAAGCTTTCCATCTACTCACATTCATTATATTACAGTAATGATGGGTACCTTTAATGACTACCTTTGAAACGTAGATTGCTTTCTTTAATAAGCTTGCAGTCATCATTGAAAGTGTGCAGTGCAAGACTGACAGGCAGAGCAGTAATAAGAGGAAAATTGTGTTTTTTGTTACATAAAGTAAACAAAAATGTCAGAAGTTGATGAGAGGTAAATTAATCAGTAATGACTAGATATTTAAATGGCAATCAGTCAGTATCTCATGAATGACTCTGATCGAAGAACTATACAAGGACGGAACACAAAGTTCAGAGACTCCGCCCATGAAAACAATCAACAGCCTTATCAAATTTGCATTTGGCCTAACTCACCTCTAATTTCGTCGCCTTCAGCAGCACTCCAACAACCTTTCACAGATGCTGTTTTTTCTTGAAACGTTTGTGCAAAACTTGATTTCCTGTAGCATGTCAACACGGCAACCCCTCAACTTCATTTTCATTCTAAAAAGTTATCAAAGTAGTTAAAAAACAAGATAAAATGATAAATATGACTGAGGAATTCTTCCGTGCGCTGATGCAAGATGGCAGGATGACACAGTGGTATGCACCACAGTTCAGGTTGTCTGATATTGTGGCATGAATTCACAGTTCTCTGTCAACAGAAGAATAATTATGAGCAAGAAGTTGAACCCCTTACTTATTGTGCCACCTTTGGGTTTGGACGCTGAAGATTCTTGTTTTGAAAGCAGCTATTTGGCTGACTAAGAGGCAGGTCTGCTTGGCAAAAAAGTGGATGTTTGCTGGATGTCTGCACTGGCAAATGGCCCCAAGGTGAAAGTTATCAGGCTTTTCAGGAAACAAATATACCAGCCACATGGTAAACTGGGGGAAACTTAAAGGGGAAACTGACTATATTTGTGGAATCTCCTGAATTTGGAATTTTATGAGTAGTTTTGCAGAACATGTAGTATATAAAAAAAGCATTAAACTTTACCCGCTCTCAATCATTAAGTCATTAGTTTGTGCCACTCAGCAGAAGGTTCAGTTAATAATAAGCCGCTCATGAAAAAGTGGTCAGTGGATGTGTTTGTTCTCTAGACGCTCATCATTATCTGCTTTTTAGTCTTTAACTACTAAGTAACTACTCATGTTTTCTCTACAATATTGTTAAGTGTTTCCTTTTAAATCCTTCAACAGCTGAGATCTACCCAAAGGTGTACCACACCTGTTTCTTCATTGTCACATACTTCGCTCCACTGTGTCTCATGGTCTTGGCATACATTCAGATTTGTCACAAGCTGTGGTGTCAACAGGTGCGCATTCCGTCATTTGCTATAAATATAAATTTCCCAATGGGCTTCCAGGGTCTGATGTGCGCGTGTATCCACTTTAATGTATTCATTCAACAGATTCCTGGAAGCACATCAGTGCTGCAGAGGAAGTGGAAGTCTATCAAATGCTCAGCTCCAACTCCAGGACCGGGGGAGTCGGTGAGGGTTAGAACCAGCACGGTTTGTGCTGAGATCAAACAAGTCAGAGCCCGGAGGAAGACAGCTCGCATGCTGATGGTGGTGCTCTTTGTTTTCGCCCTGTGCTACCTGCCAATCAGTGTGCTCAATGTCATGAAAAGGTAATAATCTCTCATGGAAGCTCTGCTGCATCCCGGATCTACAGTAGAGCTTACTATAAGCCATATTTTGTATAGTTTTTCCCCCTGACAGGTTTGTGATTAAAATGCATGCAAAAAGAAAAGAATGAATAAAATGATATCATTTTTTTACCTCCAGAGTCTTTGGGACATTTAAGAAGACAAACGACAGAGAGACAGTGTATGCGTGGTTTACTTTCTCACACTGGCTCATATATGCCAACAGTGCTGCAAATCCAATCATCTACAATTTCCTAAGTGGTAAGTTTTGAACTCTCCTCTAAGGATTCATTACTGCCCTCTAGTGAACAAACTGGCAACAACAACACAATTCACAGCTTTATCTGCTAATAACCTGAAAACAGAAGTTAATTCTGAGAAAGCAGCAAGTTTTTAATTCATGCATTTATGAAAAAAAAGCTCTTAGAATGATTTTACAAAAAATTTAAGCTATTTTTAATGCAAGCTTGTAGATGGTTTTTAAAGAAGGTGGACTTTACAAAGATTTTGTTGTCGTTTTTTTCTTAAGGGAAGTTCCGCGAGGAGTTCAAATCAGCCTTTTCTTGTCATTTTTGTGGCCAGCATGAAAATGAAACAAGGAGGATAAGGACCAGAACGCGTACAGACAGTCGAAAATCCCTCTCCACTCAAGTTCACAATGTGGACAATGTGTCACGCATATCAGATCAGATGGTGTAGTCGTCTTATATTCCAGCTGGGGCACCTGAAGGACACGTTGATCTTTAAGTTAGACATGTGATAATGTGCAGATCTCATTATTTTTGGATGACATTTAAAGGGAAAAGAATTGTATTTAATGTTTTCTGTTTGGTTGATTTGAAAAGGACAGACTTTCTCTCTTCTGTTATGCAAGAAAATGTTGATTAATTATGAAAGACACGGTTTGTAATGTTCAGTGTTTTATATCTCTCTTTCATGTGTAGTTTCTGTAAATTTTGTATGTATTTTTGTTTTGGTTTGTCTAATTACGTCTAATTAAGTAGTAGCATCACCTTTGATATAACTGGTTTAAGGGATTTGAAGCTTTATAGGTGCAGTCGGTCACATGTTCATCTCAAGTCCTCAGTGTAAATGCCCAGAAATGTATGTTCCTGTGCACTGAGTATGTTAATGAAGCCAGCTCAATTCATCAAAGTACAGAATATTCAATGTGACCCCTGCATGAACGGGACCGCAATGTGAAGCCTGTTTCTTTCATTTGAAACACTCCAGGTTTGTATTTGGATAGCATCAGCAAAGCGGACATTTTCCAGCAAAATATACGTTACAAAATAATCATTGTGGTTGAATTTTTCGGCTGTGGGTAAGAGCTGCTCACAGTCACTTTTACAGGCGACTCTATGGTGGGTTGTTTTTTATACTGATGCTAAATGTAAAAACAAGAAACATGTCCGGCATGTGCTTTCCATTTTCTTTTGTTGCAGTAGTCTGCAAGCATGTATGAATAATAACTGTGTTGCCCACATATTTTGCTGATTATCTGTTATTACTTAATTATCTGCTGTTTTAAATTATTACAGGGTCAGAAAAAAGTGAATTATGGCAAGATTTGAAACGGTTTGCACAGATGAAAAAACTATCACTGCGTCAGTAGGTCCTCAACTTCCTCACAGACAAACCCCAATCAGTGAGGGTGGGAAAACAAGTCTCCCCCTCCATCTCACTCAGCACTGGAGCACCTCAGGGCTGTGTTTTAAGCCCCCTGCTGTACTCACTGTACACTTATGACTGTGTAGCCACATCAGACACCACCAACATTGTCAAGTTTGCTGACGACACTGTTGTTGTTGGCTTGATCTCCGACAACATCGAGACGGCCTACCTGGAGGAGATTAGGAACCTGGAGACCTGGTGCCAGGAGAATAACCTCCTCCTAAACATCAGCAAGACTAAGGAGCTGATCGTGGACTTCACTACAAAGCAGGCGAGGAATTACAAACCCCTCATCATCAGTGGCACGCCAGTGGAGAGAGTGGACAGTTTCCGATACCTGGGTGTCCACATCACTCAGGACCTGTCATGGTCCTGTCACATCAATACCCTGGTTAAGAAAGCCCGTCAGCGTCTCTTCTTCCTCAGAAGACTTAGAGACTTCCATCTGCCACTGAAGGTGCTCAAGAACTTCTACTCCTGCACCATCGAGAGCGTCCTGACGGCAAACATCTGCACCTGGTTTGGGAACAGCACCAAGCAGGACAGACGAGATCTGCAAAGGGTGGTGCGCTCGGCCGAACGCATCATTCAATCAGAGCTCCCTGACCTGCTGTCCATCTACACCAAGCGGTGCAAGTCCAAAGCTAGGAAGATTATGATGGACCTCTCCCATCCCAACAATGGACTCTTCTCACTGTTGAGGTCTGGGAAGCGCTTCCGCTCCCTTAAGGCCAAAACAGAGAGAATGAGGAGGAGCTTCTTCCCCCAGGCTATTCGGGGCCTGAACCAGGTGTAGGACTGGACTCTCCCACACACATCACATCACCACACGCACTCTGGTTTTTCTTCATGCACACTTCCTATAATTTATAAACTCTTTCTGCTATTTGCACATTTTTACTGTAAATTTCTAAGTTAAATCTGTAAATTTTGTAATAACATGTAAATACTGTAAAACCACTGTCATTTAATGGTCAGGCATTGCATTGCACAGCTACAAGCATTTCACCTCATGTCATACTGTGCATGGTTGTGTGTGTGACGAATAAAATTTGAATTTGATTTGAATTCGATTTTGAATTTGATACGCTGAAAAATGTATTTTGTAAAATAATTTTACATTTTTTATTTAAAGTGTAAGTAAATATTTGTTGTAATAGATTTATGTATCAGTATCAGGAAACAATCCAAATCTTGATCTCTGATTCATCAGGATATTTTTCTTCTCCAGAACTCTTGGTATCAATGTTTTGACCTTTTCTTGATAAGAAATGATTGTACTGACAGCTACAATGCGTAGTGTTTTTCTTCTTCTTCCATATACATCATTGTTTCTTTTGCAGGATTGGCCTACTCGTACTTGATGACACACTTAGAAGTTGCCTTTGAGCATCTCTGATAGAGCATCTGGGAGGTCAAAGGCTTTGATCAAGGGCATCTCAGTGGTGAAAATGAGGCAATTACAAACATGCTTTTTTATGTTCCCCACCAAAAATTACTTGCTGCTGCAGAGACCGCGTGTATGAAGTCTTTCTCCCATTTCTAACCACAACAGTGAATTTCCCATTTCAAACGTGCTTCATTCAGATGAGCAACTTGCAGCCTGACTCAGTAATTGCAGTCATTCGTAGCAGCTGAATATGGATTGTCAACACTTTGCTGTGGTGGTTCAACAGCATTGGTTTAGAACAGCAGTCAGTCGGGCATATAGTATTTGGTGATATCTTAAATGATTTTATATGCATGACACTAGCATTTAAAGACAATTGCTGCAGCTTGCCCCGTGTGTCAGCCTGAGAAGCACAGTTAATGCCCACATCATTTTTAAAAAGGGTTCCCTAAACTGTGCACAACTGTTTGTATGTGTTCCGAAATGTTAACGCTAATGTGCAGGGCTATTTTTATTAGTTGCTTGCGAGTTTGATTTTATGTCAGTGAATGAAGTCTACACACACAAATACACATATGGTTAACCCTTTTCGCAAGCAGCGCTGACTTTTTGTCAGACCTCTCATCCAAACAGCATCAGATATGACTTCCTTAAAACCGCAGCATTTGCCTAGGGTGAAGTGGATCAGAGTAATGGTTGTGCAGAACACAAAGACATGCACACAACTCTTTATGCAGAGAGCACCCTGATTAAACCGATGTCCCTTCAAGAGTAGCTTCCATCTTTCTTGAGAACCCCTCACCCAGTGAACATGAGTAAGCGGCTGAAGCCATTCATTTTAGCTACTTGCACATTACTGGAAGAAGATAAAAGCAGAAAATTTCTTTAAAGAGTATTTGCAAAGATATTTACAACTGTACACTGCAGCACACTGGAAACTCAGAGAATCCACATCGTCAAACATACAGCACAACAACGTTTGCATTCAGAAACACAAAGCAAATATTAATCTTCAGTGTAATCAGCAGTAGAGAAAATCCTTGAGTCAAAGTGCTATAGTTTGGATGCAAAGGACAAAAATGAATAAACAAGGAGGACGTGGAAACTAAAAAGGCAATCTGGAAAAAGGCATAATATGAAAGAATGACAGAAATAAAACCAATAACAGGAAACAGAGAGGAAAACAATCCCTGCCAGGGCAGCATGATTGTAATTAATCTAGGTTTGATTGCTCAGTTCAGCTTGATGTGTTTAATGTGGGGAAATTGTTTGTGAGCATAGATTTGATTTACTAATTATGTTAAAATTTTATAGACTTTAAACCACGACTACGGCACAACAATGACACATGTGGGACGTTTTTCACAAGAATTTCTTCATTTTGAACTAAATGTGAAATGTTTGCATCCCCACATAAAGTATTTAGAAAACACTTCTCAGCCCAGGTCTTGAATGCTGTTAAGGGTAAAACAGTGCATACAATTGCCTTTAACAACTTCTGAATAGACATGAAGCTGTTGAATTAAAGTCTCGTCTTTTTGCATCACTTTTTAAAAAATATATATAATGTATGTTGTAACTTTTTCCAGTGCACTTTAAGCCTTTTTGCCTTCCAATGTTTCATACTTCATTGTGCAACACTTTGATCAGTATTTGTTGACTTTTTTTTTTTTTTTTGCTTGATAAATAAATTATCTTGATTGGAGGCTTTATGAGAGTTAATCACTGTTGACTTCTAGCCACTAGGGAGCAGCAGAAATGAGCTAAAAAGAGAAGGTTGCTGACTTCGAATTGGGTGGAGTTGTTAGCAAAGCCATCCATCTTGTAAATGACTGTGCTGTAACATTATTTACAGCTGAGGGTGAATACTGTTTGTTTATCAGTAAACACATGTATACATATACATATGCTTTTTGGTACCTAAGGCAGTGTTGTGTTGATTCGTAACAGAACAACTTATTGAATAAACTCTTTTAAATATTTTACATTTTTCTTGTATTATTGTACTTTGTCACTGGTCTATTGAAAAACTATATAGTTTGTCCCATTGCCTTTAGTTGAATATATGAAAAATGGCAAAATGACACAGTTTGACAGCCATAAAATCGGTTTTTTTTCTCCAACAAAGAAATGATCAAAATGCTATTAGCTTAAAATTTGGCATGGTGTGCAATTTGTCCTTAAAAAATTTGAGGATGAAGGCAGAACAAAAGCAGAGGATAAAAGAAGAAGTGGTAGCTCTAAGAAATTATGCCATATTCCTAAAAGTATTCACACTCCTTCCTTCACACACATGTGAACTTAAATGACAGCCCATTCTAAATCCATATAAAATATAATAAAATGTAATAAAACACCTTCAACTCTTCTGGGAAGGCTTTCCACAAGGTTCCACTGACTGTGGAATATTTAGCGAGGAAATTCCAGGGCTGCACTTGTTGCAGAGCGACCCATTCTTTCACAAATGTTTGGAGAAGGGACACAGATGTTTGAGTTTATACACCTTTCGTCATTAAAGTGATTGGAATACCTGAATTCAGCTATTTGGATGGGTAAGGGATTAATTTTGACAGTGTAGTGTATCTTTGTTTTGGTCTTTGGTTCAAATCATCTTCAGTATTTAAGGGCATGTCGACTGGCAACAGCAGTAAAATCATACCTGGCAGGAAAAGACACAGTGCAACACTTCAGTCATGGATTGGTCTCCCAAGAACTTGAGCAACGTTGCAATGTTGAAGCCTCAAGCCATTAAAATATTAAATAATAAAAAAGTCTTTGGTTTGCTTGTTTGTTTGTTTTTTGATTATTTAGAGCACATCCAAATGCATTTTGTCTGAAATGTGCTGCTTAAATATGTTTACTTTCCTCTTAGTTATTGTTGGAAAAAGAAATCAAGTGAAAACAATCTGACACAAATTTAAATCAGCAGATCAGACCAGGGATCAACTGTTTTTTATTTCCTATCTCTGAAGTAATATCGCACTACTCCTAAGAGATAATATTATTACTTAAGCCCACAAAATATAATAAGGACAATTTTAAAATACTATATGCACTAATTTTTTTCCCTTTTGTGTTGCAGCTCTGTTTCATTGCATTTGTCATTTTTATTCTGGTGCAGGGTACAGCCTCCAGTAAATGTGTTACATCCTCCTGACAGCGGGTGGTGTATCCCAGCTTAAATGCTGACACCAACAAGAGGGACACATCAGCTGCTGGTGAGAGCTTCATTTGTCTGCTCAAAGCTTTGCAACAGCTATCATGCAACTGAGACGACTGGAAGCTGCAGTCATATTTGGTGAGTTTAAGCCGAACAATTACCATAAAATTACAGATTTCTGATAGAAAAAACAAACAAGTTGATTAGTGTTATTGTATGTTTTTTGTGCTATAAAATTAGCATTACTAGAAGTGTTTCATGTCTTGTAGTTTGTACCACATGTATAGTCAAAGCGTAGCTACAGTTAGTCATGTGAGACATTAACATTTAATTTTTGAATGTCCCTTTTCATATAAAACCTCAAGACAAAAATGATCTCCGTGAAATAAATCCATATAAAAACCAATGATAAAGTAAATAAATTCTTAAAGTCTGCTTGTATTTCAGTGATTATTGCTCCTCAGATTTCATCGCTGGCTTCTGAGTGTTTGGCTGCTGTAAAAATCTGCATGTCAGATTTATGCAAGCGTGAACAGGCATTTTATGACGGCATCTGTGAAGGTAAAAAAAAACAAACACATTTCCATTATATTGTTAATATTACCAAGGGTTGAGACAAATAAGTATTACGTAAAGCGATTGCATTTCCTCAGGAAGGTCAGCAAATGAGACCGTTCGACTGAATTGCTTCGATGGAAAATGGCTAAAATGTAATAAGTGAGGAAACAGCCCGAAGCAAAATGTACATAACAAAATTAAGTGACAATAAATCACTTTTCTGATGCCTTTAATGCACACAGTATGTCTGTTTTGACATCGAAATCCTCCATTATTACACTGAATTTGATATACCAGCCTATATCGGGATACATAACCAGACATCACAAGGAAAACTGTCAGAGCAGCAGGCACATAGAAAACACCTGTTGCTCAAACAAGACCTTGCTCGCTTATGGAAAATCCTGTTTTTTCACCTTCCTCTTATGTTTCTGTCATTCAAGATGGAGGGTGCCAAATAAAAGGCTCAGAGGTCTGTAACATGACCATCCAGACAATACTGCACCAATTTCCTTCTCTGCCAGGGTGCGTGTGTGCCTGGGAGGAGGAGCTTTGTGATTCTATACAAGTGCTGGCCACACAATGCCACCAAAAGCCAGGTGTGGTATTCTCAGAAGTCTCTACGATAAGCATTTATATGTGAAATTACGTTTTTGTTTGCCAAAGGTGGACAATTATTGCACTACAAAATGACTGTTAAGAGGATCTTTAATGTGCCTTTGTTGGTGGGAGAGATAATCATGTTGATTATTTGAACAGCAGTTCAGCTCACGAGGAGTGCAGTAATGGATTGGCAGTCAAGCACTTTATTAAACTACGGTAATTATATTTTATTACGCTAATCTCAGATGAAATCTAGTGAAGATGAGTCAAAATTGGTGAAACCCATTCACTACCTTTCTCTCTCTTTGTTTTTTAGTATATGATGGTGCTGGATCATGTTTGGATCAATTTAGGGCTTGTCTCAGCGATTCAGTTTGCAACAGGTACCTGGCACCTATGCTCCAAGCCTGTAAGTCAGGCCAGTGCAATGATGAAGGGTGTCAGCAGGAAACTCTGCGGTTCTACAGGAACGTACCCCAAAATGTTGCAGAGATGCTGGTCATGTGCGAGTGTGAAGCTTCAGATCAGAGCTGTCTGAGCATGAAAACCGAATTGCACAGTGGCACCTGTGGAGATGAGATCCGGGTCTGTCAGCGTGTACTTAACCAGTGCACTGAGGACAGTAACTGCAGGTATGCTGTTCTGTCCTCAGATGTTTTTGTTTTTTTTGTTGTTGTTTTTTTCAGGATTATTGTACAAATACTATTATTATTAAATGCACACTCGGGGATGAAACCACCAAATCAGATGCAAATTCATTGTTTGCACAATGATGAAATGTATGAGCAGCATCTGGCGGATGAGATTGCTGGAGGGAACAACAAAGGCTGGCAGGAACATTGGTTGTGCGAGGCATGCGGGGAGGAGGAAAAAGGTGTCTTGTGTATAGGCTGTGCAGCAGGAAGGCAAACACTTTAAAATGCAAGGAAGGGATTCAGTCAACAAACTAACAATCACTAAATTGGAGCAGGAAAAAGAGCGTTCATCATTCGAGAGTCCTTTCCAGCCTTAAAAAGTGAACGAGTGAGTGATACTGGAAATGAGTGTATAAAATAACATTTTTTAAAATAATGCCAGCTCACTGCTAGTAACAGAAAAGAAGAAGTCTGCAGATAGTTGAATACGTAACTACCAACACTGAGCCAGACACAGAAATAACAAAATGTGAATTCTCAACCTTTAAGTGAACAATGAAGAAGAACTCAAGCTGAGGTAGTCCAGTATAGGGCCGCATTAGTGCACAGTAGCACTCCTAACCGAAATCCTTTTTACATTGTCCTGTTTGTCCTTTTAACACATACATGGCAGCGAGCTTTCATAGAGAGTGCCAAGTGCTGGTCCAGCCATTAGGAGCAATTTGTGGTTCAGTGTCTTCTTCAAGTGGATGCCCTCCTCACTTGTCCATTCTCAAGCTGATTTCATTATGGAAACCTAGATTTTCAGGTTATAGTTCCATCAAATCCAATGCTGTTTCTTTTTTTTAAATGGCCATTTTTTAAGATCACATCTCCAATTACTATCTAATAAAATTTTTCAGAAACCACTTTACACGTAGACTGCAGCCTTTTATAATCCAAATTCCACCTGTGTGATTGGTGCACTTTTCCCGCTGCCATTTTTGATGTAATTCCATAAATATATGTGAAATGATCATGAAGTAATATGTACAATCTACCATAACACATAAACATCTATAAATCGCAGCACCCACTCATTCCACATAACACACATTTTCTCTGTATTAACAGGGGCTTATTAGAAAACTTTCAAGCCAATTGTTGGAGTCCTGAAGAAGCCCAGTGCATTGACAGTGACCTCCCAAGAGATGAATGCTTCACCCAGATGGATCCAGAGCTCATCCTTGGTGCAGACGCTGAATGCAAAAGGGCCTTCGTGGCTACTTTAGGCACAGTGCTTCACCATCCTTGTACATGTAAAAGACTCTACAATGACGATCTTCTTACATGCAGCATGATTCACGACGTGCTTCACAATAGATCACGCTTCAGTGAGTATCTTTTTTTTTTCTAACCAGGCATTTTTAAATGTAACAATCATTTTTCCTGGAAAGATTGTAAATTATTTTTATTTGTATTTCAGTGGCATCTTCAGAAACAATCATTCGCCCCTCTAAACCTCCTCAGACCCTTGAATCAGATCATGCTTATGCTTGGTTGCAAGGTAAATTGAAATTTGTAAACTCTTTATGCTAATCGTAGTATGATTCACATGAATTTAAATTATCAAAACAATTTTTGAGTGGGTTTTCGAGATGGAATATTTTGTCTTTCCAGATTATCTTCTGTACGTTGTTGCAGCCATCCTGCTTGCTGGTGTCATATTAATGCCTCTGGTTATTGTCAGTAAAAAATGGTAAGCATCGATGATCGATGTTGAATCAATGTTAAGTCGTTTTATCAAAATATTATGTATAATTTACTTTTATTTCTGTTTCCTTGTAGGATCTCGAGAAAGAGAGATAAAACAAAATTTCACCATCCACAGAAAAGCAACTGTGTCGTTATTCTCTGATGTTTATTCCTCTTCCCACTGAATAAAATAATCATAATTTTTTCTCTTTTAACTCAAGATCACAGCTGAATAAATTCGTGAGGTTCCTTTGAGTTTGCTGCACATGCAGTCATCTCATATTTCTTTGCTGTAATAGGTAATAGAGTTTATTAAGAAAATAACTAAATTGAGAATGCTTTAAAAGACTGTCATCAATAGCCAAATGAATATTGTTGTAATCATCCTTTGCAAAGGTCTCCAAAGCACACTTTGTTTTTCAAAGTACTTGGTAGGTGATTGATGAGTTTGACATGAGGGCTCTGTGGGAGTCATACAATCTGTACAAGGACTGATTGTTCTTCTTGCTGTAGTTCAGTAGCTCTAGGTCTAGAGTTGCTGTATGTTTGAAGCATTTGTCACACAGTGGTGTTACTTGATTGATAAGACTATAAGAAGCTTTTGCACAATCTTGTGAAGTAGCATTGTTTAGTTCTTCTGTAGTGCACCCTTAATCTTTGTGTTGTTGCAAACAGTGATCTTGTGCTGCTTTATTAAAGAACATATTGTATATTTGTAGATACAACCTTTATGTTTAAAGTTAATTGAAAAGATTTTGTTGTTAATCTTTCACACCGACAGTTATTATAGAAAAAAACAACAGATCTGACAAGTTTAAGATTGCTTTAAGTTATAACTTCAAGTGTGATGATTTATTCGTGCTCTGCTCACTCTTGTGCTTTGTTCCTCTGTATCTGATAATAAACTTCCCACTGAAAGCCTTAAAGCCCCACAGTTTGTTCAAAATGCTACATTTTACGTGACGATTCCTTTAAAAGGAGCTTTTAAAGAAAAACTTCAAAATCAGAATTTAAATCATTTGTCTTTTTTTTTTTTTATAGTTCCAGTCAGTGTGCGTGAAAGCCCCCCAAGAAAGGTCTTCAACCTGAAGCAGTGAACACAAAAAGATTTGTTTTTCTTTTATTAGTTCATAGACAGCTATCGAGAAAGCCCTGTCAGCATAGTCCACTTAGTCCTGGAATCAGGGACAGAGTGGAGCCTTTGGTCAGGTGATGTCTGGTTTAAAAACAGGAGAAGTAGAAAGGGAGGACAACCCTATTCACCCCTTTGTGCACAAACAGCAGGGGAGAGGCACTGATGGGAGTTATCTGTATTGACCTGTAAACACACTTACTTTAGCATTTTGAGCTATTTGGAGACAGGGTAACGCGGTCTGAGTGGTGGAAAAAGAGAAGCAATTGCAGCAATCAAGATGAGTGGATTTGCTTCACTTTAATTGGGCCAAAGACACCAAATTGTTTTTGTCACTGGAGCTGATCTAACCCTGATTCACTGATCTGCTCTGTTTTATACGATTGAGCTATAGGTGAGTATTTCTGGACTCATTCTGCCCGGGAAAGAATTGAAGTTCTGTCCAATAGTCTATTTAAAGTCAAATTAAAGGTCAGTGTGGATAAATACGATTGATGTTTTAACCCATGATTTAATTCTTTTTTCTATCATGTTAAGCACACACAACATACAGTCTGATCTTTTGTGTGGAGGGCTCTGTGTCTGTGAGGAAAATGAACCAGCCATGTCTGGAAATCTATATATTTGAAAGGATGCAACAGTAAGTAGATACAGAGATAAATCCAAATACATGCTAAAAAGTTCCCAGCTGGTTTGAAGGCAGGGATTTTTGTTGGACAGGAAGATTTGATTGGGAGGTAAAGAAGGCTTTTTTCAGGAAAATAGGACAAAAGGGAACTAAACACTAAACAGTGAGCTAAACATGTTCATTGACAGGCAAACACTGGATTGGTGGGACTATTTATATACTTGGGCCTAATTTCAGATGTAGGAGATAATAAAGTACAAAACCTTCACTAACGTACTTACGTAGAACTTTCAGGCGTCTGTATTTTACTTTAAATTTTGATGTTTTTTGTACAAATCTTTACTTTTTAATTCTTACATTTTCAAAATGGGGGCGGGGATTATTTCTATCACTGCTTGCCTTCAAACATCAAAACAATTTGAACCTAAATCGAGGGGAAAATAACATAAAAGACAATTCTGTTGGTGTGTGTCTATCGCATGTGCTTATCTGTATCTTATCTGGGATGGAAAACAGAAAAACACATCATCTAGCCATCATTTCTAGGACTATGCTCAGGTTTTAGACTGAGTTTTAATGTGGCAGGTGATTTTAAATGCTACGTTTCCAACACCTCAACAAATATTAGCAAACAGACAAACTGTTTCTGCACAGTTTGTCATACAGTGTAATGCTAGCTAAAGGCACAGCTGCTCTATTTCCCAGGGAGAGAAAACGTGGGAGATAACTTCACTCAGAGATGGAGAAAGGATAAGGAAGGATAGGAAGAAAAAGAGGTTATTTTTAAAGCTGAGGACTTCTCGGTGACATTTGATAAACTGGAAATGTAAAGCTTACATTTTAAAGGTTTGGTTCATTTTATAGTTTATCAAACAGATATTGATCACATGAAAATATCTGGCAGTTTAATGCAGGGTTAGTTCACCAGAGTATGCTGTACTCTGGTGAAGTTTAGTGATGGAGCAGAGTGACTGTGGTGATCACAATCACAGGCAGTAGACATGAAAATAAATTTAAGCTGGTGGTGCTGCTTGGATTCATTCACTGACTTCCACATTTAAATTAGCTTTATACAGACTAGTGGTGGGCATTAGCTGTAATAGTTCATGTAACATCTGCTTACATCTTCTTGAATTAGGCTGTGTAAATCCACAAAGAGAGGAAGCAGCACATACCATGTGATTAAAATGTATTTGTGCTGATAGCAGAAGCTACTGGGACTTATTTATATTCACTTCCGCTGGTCTTAGACAAAGACTCAACAATATCACAAAACATCAAAGCCACTATTAGAAAAGAGATCAAATCAGGAATCCAAAACATCAAACACTACAACAATCAAATCTAAGAATCCAAAATTTATATCCACAAAAACTCTGGGACCATGACAGTAATTATTTTTTATTTCTCATCTTCCACTTTTTGGTTTGCATGACAAAAACTGACCCAAATTATTGGCTGTTTAAGCCTTTCATCTTTCAAAAGATTTTATATGATCTTAATATTACAAAATTTCACTTACACAGTTGATAATTATGGGATTGAAGCTATCTGATTCCCCTCTTTCTATGTATTTTCCCCAAGACACATCACTGCACATGAATGATAGATCTAGGAGAACAAAGGTCAGAACTAAGAGCCTCTTTGGAGCCATGTGGCCAGTAGGGGGCCCCAAAAGGGTGTAAAATGTCTCACTAAAGTTGTTGATTGCCATTAAAAGATAACATAAAGTAAACAAACAAAAAAAAAACACTCACAAGGGCGAGAACAGCATTGAGGGTAAAGTTGTGGTGTTATTTTTAGGTACTACTGTGTTAGTAGCATAACTTTTTGGCTCGCTTGTAGCTACCACGACTATGTTCTGTGAGTTTTTGGCTCATAAAAGTGAGAGTCAAATACATTTAATAAGTGCCTTTAATAAGTGTTTACTGTGTTTATAAGGCACAGCTCTGTTAAAATGCATTTACACAAATAAAAACTGTAGATACCAAATCTCCAGCAATGTATGGACACTGGTTACTGTTTCCTGGGTATACTGGGGAATATGAATGCACAGTCAACTATCCAGGTAAGCCAGGTTTAATATTAATATTGGAAAAAAATATCTATTGTCAATAAATATTGTTTGTTTGAACATCGGTCATTTCTTAGAGATGGAAACTGTTTTAACGAGGCTGTAGTGGGAGCACTGGGTAGCAGGTGTGACTAAATGTGGTTCACAGGCGGAATTTTGCTTGAGGTGGAGACAGGTCAGGACTGAGTCTGTGTGCAACTGCACATGAATGCATAATTTTCTTTTTTGTTACGTGATTAAGATGGACCGCCATGGGCAGACAATTATCACAATTTAATACGCTTATGCAAATCTAACATCTATTCATTAGTGTGGAGTGCTTTTCTTTCCCAGTTGGCATCATGCTGGCATCCTAATTAGTCAGATTTTTGAAAATAGGGATGTAAGGTGAATGCAATTAAGCCGTAGGAAAGAAAGCCAGAGGAACAGGACAGAAGAGCTAACAACTGATTTTTTTTTTTATTCTTTACTTTCTGATTTACAGATTGCACAGCAGGGTGTAAACATGACAAAAAATGAAAGGACAACTTTACGGAGACAATTGTCTCAGAAAGTAGTTTATGTCGTGGTAAAATTCTGAAATACAAAAAAAAGACTATAAAGAGGAACTTTTTAAGGGATCTTTGGCAAACCTGATGGCAAAAACTCCTCTGTGCCTCCTTTAAAATGCTATCTTTGTGGTAATTTGAGAGTTGTCCTATTTTGAATTATTTATACAAGTTCACAGGAAATCACAAAAGGTCTTCAGAGAAGCAAGGTGCATATGGAGGCACTCATACACGTAGGATTATAATACGCTGTTACATAATTTTATAAGGCCACTGATCAATGCAAACGAATAAAATCATAAGATCATAAATTATCGAGCCGTCAACACAAACCTCAATCACAAATGAATACTCCCCTTGATAATTACCAGCTTCCTGTCACTTTCCATTCAGTGCGGTCGACGCTTGCTTTTGTTACATCAAAAATTGTGTAGAGCAAAAACTAAGCCAAGGAAGATGCATGTGTTCAGCAGATTATAAAGGTACTCAGATGGCAAATATAGACTGGAAATGAACAATAAAGTAAAAAAATAATAAAAATGAGATAGTTTTCAATATTATTTAGATGACATGCAAGAGATACATGGAACAATGTAGTTCAAATACAGACAGATAGGCAACAAATCTGAAGGCAGCAACAACGGGGAAGCACTTTAAAGGGAACAGACTAAAATATTTAAAGACGTTCCATTACAGAGACGCATCACAGCAGGCCGTGCTTCTTGCTTGGGCAACCTTGGAGTTTGTCTTGCGAGATAAAGCACTGCAGATGAAGGAACCAGCCTCTATGACTTTGGCAATGTTCACACCCTGCAAAAACATCCCAGCATCAGTAAAAGTGCAATTAATATAATAAGCGCAAGATAAACAAGAAATGGCAAGTTTAAGGTTTTCTCACTGAAATTAAAAGAAGACGTGTAACAGGTGACAGAAAATTAACCCGCAGTGAATTGTTTCTACCAGCAGGGGTAGGAATTGTTAAATAAATTGTTCCTGAGAAGTGTGTGCAACACCACAGTCTTGCACAAGTTATGTAGAACCACTAATATGATCAAATAAACTGTTACACGGCAGTATGTTTGGAGAACGATGTGTTTATGTGAATGAGCTTTGAAAGATTGTACAATGTTGGTTTTGTTGAGATTAGACACAAGTGTACATGTACACCAGACAGTGAAGTCATACTTACTGTTTCAATGCCCATGCCATGAAGCATATAGAGAACATCCTCTGTGGAAACATTGCCAGATGAACCCTGAGCGTAAGGGCATCCTCCCAGGCCAGCTACTGCAGAATCCACCACAGAGACCCCCATCTGCAAGGACAAACAACAGAGGCATTCGGCAAATCCGTGAAAGACTTCATGTCAGGTAAAATCCAGGAACAAAGATCTTTGTTCTATTGGGTTGTTCTGCCTGGTGCCGCGCACCTTGCCAGGCCTGTGGTTGTGTTTTACAGCTGTTTCTGAGAACCGTGGGCTTAAGGCTTGAAGATGAGTGGGCACAGAATGTCCCGCAGTATGGCTTAGTCATCCTCTGTGTCAGCTCAAACCACCAGCACCACATAATTATGGCCTTGTTCATATGACAGGAATATTATAAAGGCTGAGCAGAAGATTTCATATGTTTCTGATTGTCCTGGTTACTCATGTTTTTACAGCACGACTCTGCTCTTCACCATAGGGATTCACTTTCTTGCCACATCGAGAAGACATTTTTTTTCCCCTTGGCTGCTTAGTGTCCAATCAAACTGTGCCAATAAACTTAATGCATTTGTACACAAATGTGCTACAAAAAAAATCATTAATGGCAAACTATTTCGCTGATCTCCTTGATTACAAATGTTTCTGCTTTCTAAGGGCCTCTTTGTTTACACGAATGTAAGAATATACAAGAGATAAAATTCAAGTTGTGTACTCTACTGCGTTTTTTTTGTTCTTTTTTTGGCTCACCAGCGCTCACGACAAACATTACTGCTGAAATTTGTGGGAAAGTTTTTCCTTTTTTTACTGCCGACGATAGCGAGCGCCTGGTCTCCATATGAAAATTAATGATGCGTTTTCAGTTGTTCTTCTCAATCCGTTGCTTTTGTTGGACAGCTTACCCAACATTATAAAAGGCTGCCCAGGAAACAGTACCCCGGTGCTTTTGTTGCAGCTCGATGTTGACATTGAAATTTACAGAAGCACATTTTACTCTTTCTCTGAATGCCCATATTACTCAAAGACACACAGTCACTGTTCTTGCCATGGACGTGCGCGACCCAGTCATGAATAAAACCTTTGTTTTCACACCAAGACAGGCCTTCAGTTTTCAGAGTCATTATGGACTAAGGTCTTGGGATGTTTTCCACATGTCCCTGGGATTGTCATGAGAATATTAAAGATGTTTTCCAGCTTCCGCGGTAGAACCAGATGTCAGAGAATCCTACAGTGAGACAAAATTAACACACTGATCCTCTCAGTGGCACTGGGTCATGAAGGACCGCTACCCCACAGAGCAGGACCAAGCAAGTTAAATTAAAAGAATCTCTATTGCTTTTTTGGAACAATGATGCTAATTGGTTGCTTTTCCTCCAGACAAGAACCTACTTCTTTCAGGGGGCTGTCTGAGCCAGCCGTAATTGCTGTTTATGTTGGCAAGGGAAGAGGAGGAGGTGGGTAGAAGGAGGAGGAGATCTACTCCGGTGTGTGCAGTGCACGAGATTTCCAGACCTTGGTTAAAGCCAGAGCAGGATATTGTACTAGGCAGAATTTTTTGTAGTATAAACACAGAGTTGTAATCTGCCATGCCAATCCTCTCGCTTCTAGCTATAAGGTCACAGGTCTTCAGCGTACTGTTTCCGAGAGGAACAGAACAAACCCTTTCAGCAGCGTGCCCCGTACCCCCGGACACTAATCACGCAGGAACTGGTGGTCAGCAGCTCGGGCTTGCCAATGCTCAGTTAGGTTCACACTACCCAGAAACCAGATGTGTGCTCAGTGTTAAAAAGCCATACTGAGTGAGCTGCGGCTATATAAAAACAATGCATTCCTGGGTAAAGACACTGAACATTTTCAAACTTGCATGATTTGGGATAAGCTTGTTTACATTCTGCGCTCTGAGTGGACGAGGCTGAAGATGGACAAGCTCCCATTTTGGTTTTATAACTGCGTCACAGAGCGAGCGAAAGAAAGAGTGTGCATTCAGCGAAGGACACGAAGCAGTGATGCTTCACCCACGACTACATAAACCGAAAGGCTGACAGAAACTGTCACGGATCCCGTGCTGACACTTATATCACTTCTTTCGAGGAGCGAACCCCGGACAGCAAAAGGCAAACAAGCACTTAAAGAATAAATAAATCACATTTTACTTTATCATTTCCAAAAGAAAATAAAGTTTGACTAATGTGATGTGACAAATATGAAGTTATTCAACTTTAATATGCAATCCTATTTTTAATATAATGTAAATGAATGCTAAAAATACTACTACTAATGATAATAATAATAATATAACATATTTATCACCTTAAAACATGAATTTGGTTGGAATTGAAGAAAAAATATAAGAAAATAAATTCACAGATAATCTAGTTTCTTAGGAATTTATGTACTTGCTAATTAAATTATTTATTGATTTTGAATAATAAACATTTATATTTCAGCTCTTCATCTGTATTTATTTATTTTGTATAACAGCAATCGTCCCAGGGGCTGCAGATGAAAATGAGCTTTTTGACCCATTTATTACATCAGTGTTGCTTCCTTTACATACATGTTAAAAGCATTTTTTTTTTAAAAATAGTTAAAAAAAAAAGTAAAATAAAGCCTAAGAATACAGAAAAAAGAAAAATAAATGTTCTTTTACTGTTATTTTGTCTTTTTGTGGTATTTATGTGGGTTTTACGGTTGTCTTTTAAATATATATTCCAGTATGTCACAAGGGCTCATTTAAAAAAAAGTTAATAATCTATAATAAATATTTTCTAGTTTAGCTGAAATTGATTTTACTTGTTTACTCAACAGAAAGTATCGTCGGTGGCTTTGATTCAGAGCGGATTTCACTCTTTGAAATAGCAAATCACCAATCACAAGATAAAATGATCCTTTATAACTATCCATTATAACTTCTACCATTCAGTCAAAGAAGCCAACATAAAGTTGCACTAAAGTTATCAACACACTGCTCAACACAGCTGCTAGGTAACTGGATGTTAGTAAAATATGTTAGTAAACTAAGGCTGAACAGAGTCTCATGTATGGAGACAAAAGAAAATACTGCAGATGGATGTTATTGTCAGTAGAGATCTCTAGTGTGAGCCCAGACAGGTTATACTGTATTCCCCAGCTGCAGTAGTACACAATACACCAAAATTGCAGGTAAGATTAAATAATTTTCCTTGCCAAGCCTGTGAAATCTAAGTACATACATTGTCATTGTGTGACCTGCCAGGGTAGGTTTGTAACAAAGCCCCCCTAGACCTCCTGAAAAAAGGTACAAAGACTAAGGAATGTCTTTATCGGGAACAAAAGAGGTGACTCAGGGCTGACAGCACTGGGGGAATTCATTTCTCTCCCAGTTGGTGGTGTGGAGTTCTGGCACACAGTAATGAAAAACTATGATAAAATCTTTAATTTCCTACTTGTTTATGGGTGAGCAAATGGTGAGCTAAATATCCCTGGCTGCTATTATTTCTTGTGGCCATGGGGCAGCTGCGATGAATCATTGTAAATATGATCCACGCAGGAATTTCACCATCTCTCTGTACTTTTTCTTTTTCAAACCATTCAGAATCAGATTTAACCTTAAAAATATTTGCTTCTTTACATGACATGGATCAGCTGCCTTTCCGAACAATGTTTGACCATAAATTGTACCAGAGAAGTACAATATTAGATTAATTCCATCATAATTATTAGAAGGGATAAGTGTTCAACTGCAAGTTTCACAACGGAACAACAGTTTCTTTAGTGGATGTGTAACATTAGTGAATGAATGAATGATTTCATTTACACGTTACATTTGCAGTCATACAGTGATTTGTGCAAACTGAAGCATAAATACTATACTAACGTTTACAGTTGAGTAAAATAAAGTACTTGAGTAGACGTTTCTAGAGCTGCGTCTGCAGCTGCAGCACCATTCATCACATGCTCACCGTAGAGCAAATGAAAGGATCATTTTCCACTGGCCTTTAAGCGCGCCATTGTCAGAAAGTTCAACAGCCAAGCGGCAGACGAGCTAGAAGCCCCCCCACCCCCCCAGGGCCCTTCGATCCACCTAGCTCTCAGTCGCTTTGTCCAATAGACACTGAATAGGTGAGCCTTTGTGCTGACCCCCTCACATCTGTTGACCCACCCAGCCCCCAGTGTGCTTCCTCCTCTGTGGTGACAATGCGCTCCAGTAAAACTGATACAGCCCTGCCTGCATTGCCTCTGTTTTATGTTTGGATATATGTCAGGTTTACTGGCTCGCAACAGGCAAAGTGGTGACAAATGCCCCCACGACAGCTCCTTCACAAAGATTCACAACCCAAATGCACTTATTGAGTGTATACCTTTAACTATACAATACATATTGTTAAGTTCATTAAGATTCTGGGATTTTTTTTTCTTTTTGAAAGCAGTTTGTGAATCATCTTGCTTTGTGGGGAAGCTTAGATCATGTTTCTTAATGCCGATTTTCCTCGTTGACTGATGGTTTCTGGTTCTCTGTGTGTCCCATTGTAGCCTACACATACACAACAGAGAACACATTCATCATGCCATAGACTGACAGACTGCCATTAAAGCTCAGGCACATATGTGCGCTTTTTAAAACGTAAAAAAAACAAAAAAAAATTTAAGCTCTGAAATACTCTAATATAAAAGTTTGCAATAAAACGTTTTACATCATTTTAAAGTGGCATATATGGCCAAAATAACTATACATCAGTCTTATTGATATATTACATTATTTGGCTTCCTTTTTCCTGACTCCAGCGGAAAATAAAAACAATTTTTCCTTTTTCTCGTTGCAAAGAAAGGACACTGTATTTCAATGGACTGTAGCATGTGAGCTGAAAAGTGTCTAAAAAGATGGATTGGGAGAAGTTTAACAAATGATGCTTCCCAGCAGGGATAATGATTTAAATCAACCTAAAAAAAAACAAAGACCTGTGATCTCTATGATGTTGGCAGAAAGTTGAATGATATCCTGGAACAAGAATCACCACCTCTATTTTGCCTCCACATCTGGTTGCTCCTCTTCATGTCATCATGAGTAACTACATTGATTTATGCAAAGGCCGGGCATTTATCCATAATCGGTCTGTGGTTCTCCACGAGAACATTCATATTCATCACAGGGGGAGGGATGTGCATGTGAAGGCAAAGGTACCCCAAATCCACTGGGAAAGCAGAAAGTAAAGCTGTCAGACAATTTAACATGAGAGGATATGTGGATCAAGAGGACGATGCATTGCTGTCTTGTGCTTGTCCAAAAGGAGAATCTACACTACAAACTACGGCAAGAGGGCTTCCTCTTCTAACTTTACCAGCATTTGTACGCTTAACACAGACCTCTCCACTTAAAAGTGTTAGCACCTTTTATGTCTCTCCCACAAGAATCAGAAGGTTTTTGTCTCACAACAGAGGTGTGGGCACATCTGTCCTCCCAGAGTTGTCAGGCTTTTTATTATCCCTTTATTCATTTGGATCTTTGAACTGTTTTACCTTTCTGCTTATTCAGAGACCTCCATACCTTCCAATCACACCAACAAATTAGCTGAACTGTGTCTGATTGCCTCTGTTTTTAAAGATCCCTCTCAGCTGCCTGTTAGGTTCAGAGAATTTTTCCAAAATTCACAGTTCCTACCCTATCCACCTTTCAATAGTCTTGGAGCTAGTCTCCTTCTTTTATTGACTTCCATTAACAAACTAACTTCATTTACTTTTAAATGTTTGTTTTTAAGTTTTTGACTGTTTGCTGTCATTATTAATGTCTTTTATGTCTAATCTTAGACTTATGAAATAGCTGCACAAAAGCTGGTTTACAAGACAGATGTAGGGCATTAAATAAGATAATCCTGTCATGTACTTCATGACAGATGGAGAATTAAGGACCGTAATGAAGCTTGGAAACGTTCTGGTGTCACAAGCTGATCCTCAACAGGTGTCATCTGTTGCTTTTATCATCTAATAGTTCTCTAGTTAAACACACTAGACTGTCTATTTGATTTCTTTTCAGATTTCCATCTGCTCTCTTTGCTGTACTTTCGACTTAAGAGCTCTTTCTGTCGCTACAGTACTCATAATATTAACAACTGCAGTAATAGCAATAACTATAAATAACAATGAATAATAAATCTAATCATCATTAGATCATTAGCAATTTCTGGTTCTGAGATTACTGGCAGTACCACATCTTAGGGGTTCTTATCTGGAGTGCACTAAGAATGTTGGCAGTGCTTGCCCATAGGTGTCATGGCAATGAACCGTTAAAACTTCTTGTTTTCTTGGAAATATTAATTATAGTAACAATAATAATAATATAAACAATAACATAAGAAACAAAATCATCATAGGTAGAAGCATAAGTACTTTTGAGACTATTGGCCGCAGAATACCCGTGTTCTTACCTGGAGTGCAGTAAGGATGTTGGGCAGTGCTTGCCCATAGGTGTCATGGCAGTGAACTGCAAGCGCATTGATGGGCACGTCCTTCATCACCCTCTGCAGCATCTTAAGCATAGATCCTGGAGTACCAATACCAATGGTGTCTCCCAAGGAAATCTCATAGCAGCCCATTTCATATAATCTCTTTGCCACCTAAAAATAATAAAAATATAGAAAATGCTCTCTTTATAAGAGGATTACATAGTAAAAGAACTTTTTTTTTTTCAAATATAAGTACCATGTTATGTTTGGTTAGGCAGTGAAATGGAAGAGAATATAAATGCTATATTTTACATTTCTTCAGTTAATTCAATCTGTGCTTACGGAAAGAATATGAACATTTATTGTGATTTTTCATTTAGCAATGAACTGACAATAATTAGCTTTGAGTTTTGACATATATATCGAAAAGCACTGACATCCACAAAATTAATTAATTCCAGGAAAAACAAGTAAAAAAAAAAACAAAAAAACAGAAAAACAAAACCAGAACAACATCTCAAGAAACGATTCAGTTTAGTTTAGATCATTTAAACAAATGAACAGATAGGTTTTAAAAGACCTGTAAGTGTAAAGAACAATCCTACCTCTGCCACTTTGGAAGGTTCAATGTGTCCCTCATGGGGACACCCAAGGGCACAAGAAACATACCTGAGAAGATAAAGTTAACAAGTATCATTATTTTGTCAGTTTCAGCAACTGACAAAAAAACCCCCAAAAAAACGTCAAAAGCTGTTGAACATTTTCTATACTATAGTGTGCTCTTCAAAAAAAAAAAGAATTGGGTCCAATGTGTCCAGAAGCCTATTAGTGTTTTGGTGTGTCCTTTATGGGCAAAGCAGTTTGTATAATTTAAAAAATAAAATAAAATATCTCTCTCTCACTATATGTATATAT